AAGATATTGCCACAAATATTAAAAGACTATTTCAACCCAATTAAAAGCTTCACAAGGTGATTATGAATAAAAATAAAATTGTAAAAGAACATGAATCAACACTAATGAACTGATTTAATTAGAAGTTAAGTCACCTTCAAATAGCAACCGATATATATCACTTCCTTTTCTTTGAAACCAATACATATTGCATCAATAGGAACAAAATTATAATAATATCAATTAAGTTCCAAGTGCCCAACCAAAGGGAACACTAATCACTATAATGGTGAGTTCAAACAAAAACATTTTAGGAAAATCAACATCAATTTATGAAGTTATCTTATGTGATGTTCTCTCAAATGTTTCAGTTTTATTGACAATTCAACATTCAAGATGACTTTGAGAAACTAGTGAATGCAACTAGTGAAAGATAACTGCAGACATGGAGGAAATGGGTGAAAAGTCTATTAAGAATTGTCCCGCCTCAAAAACATTTTTTATTTTCTTCTTTTTCTGTTGTTTTGTTGCATATTGACAACATATTAGTGCACTGCTGCCTCTCACTGGTTTATTAATGTCATCGGTTCCTTTGTGGATACTTGAACATTTTAAGTAAGCATCACTCAAAGCAGTAATTAAATAGTTTCATTTGCATTTAAATTAGCTGTAACTTAATAAAACCTAATGAGTATAGCAACTAAGTAAAGATAATTAATTATATCTAAGTAAGGCAAACTATTGGATTTTACAGTGTGCATCTACTTGTTATTTTTTAGATTTGGAATATATTTCAGCATGGTATTTCTGTAAAAAAAAAAAGTAGCAAATTGCTGTTTTAATTAACTTAGAGGTTTTGAACTCAAGTTTAACAGTTTTGAATAGACTGTGTAACCATGCAAATTGGCCTGTAGGTACAGCGTTTTTGGTGTTTTTCATCTGAAAAGTTTAGTCACTGAATGCATTTTGTGCCAAAGCAATGAAAACAATTAAATCTATAATTCCTACTAAGGGGGGCCCGTGTCAGTATACTGCAGGCAAAGGACTAAACCAGGGGTTCTCAACTCTGGACCAACTTAATGTTTTTTAACAACTAGAATTACTATATAATTAAGTGTTAGGTTATTTAATTTAGAGTCTAAATTTTAGACTGACCGTTATACATTGGTGCCATTATTATTACACCTTTATTTGACCCTCTAACTCTAACACTTTCTATTCTATTTTAATTCTACTTTATATTTATCTTATTTTTTATTTATTTTTTATTTAAAAAAACAACAAAAAAAACAAACAAACACTAGCTTTCTATTTTTTTCTATTCTATCTACTTGTTTTTCTTTGTGTGTGTGCGTGTGTGTGTGTGCATATATGTGTGTGTGTGTGTGTGTATAATATATATATATATATATATATATGTATATATACACCTTGCTACGTGTACTGCGTTAGGCTAACCGAGACTTGTCATTTGCACTTATATATTGTTGCTCTTTTGTTAGTTTTGACTGCTTTTATTGTCCTCATTTGTAAGTCGCTTTGGATAAAAGCGTCTGCTAAATGACTAAATAAATAAATAAATAAATTAAATTATGACTCTTGCAGTTTGTTTTGCCACTCAGAGTCTCTCAGTTTTTCTCTGAAAGTTTGAACTGAATAAGAGAAACTGAACTGCTCTACACACGCTAATTATGAACTGTTTCAAAGCTGCCTCACACACGAATATGAGGGAAAAACAAAACAAAACACTGACTGGTGTATATAGTGTACAGCCACCTACAGAACTGTAGAATATGCCAACAGGATGTTTTTGGTCATGGCAACATGATCGTGCACAAACAGATTTAACCAGAGCTGGGCTTGTTTAGTATTTGAATTTATATTTGAAATGAGTAACTTCTAGAGCAATACATGTAATGTATAAACACACTGTATAGAAAAGAGTAGATTGAGATTTGGGAAAAACAGCTTCTCAGAACAAGCTCTCACAAGTGAGAGATTATGTACAGCTCTTTGTAAGAAAAAGAAAACTTCCTCAGAAATTCTTGATAAGACAGAACAGGTCGAACTGCAAATTACAATTGTCAGTTTAGGACAGTTTTTTTGCATTGACACGGGCGTCTTCTTCACAGAATTGTTTAAATACTTTTACAATTACCATCTTTGTAGAACTTGAGGAGTGATGAAGTTGACACATTGTCAAAAAAACAAACAAACAAAAAAACTAGTACATTTAAAGAATGTCTATAGTGTCACAGTTTCGGTTTAATTTCTTTGCCTTTTGGTTTTCCTTGTTCCTGTACGCCTGTGTTCATGCTAGCTACTCTCCTTAGTTGTTAATTCCACTTGGAAATTCTGAGTTCCCAGTAGAAACTTTTAACTGGAATGCCCTTCCACGTCGGAGTTCCAACTTTGAGTTTTGGAGGAATCACAACAACTCCAACTTTAAAATCCAAAATGGCTGCTCAGTCCATCAACAGAAGAGAAACAGTAGCAATATATTGTTTATTAGCTCTTATGCTTGTCTGTGTTTCAATAAACTCAGTGGTGCACACAGTACCGATTGCAACTGAAGTGGGAGATTGTGCATTGAACAAATTGTTGTCCTGAGGAATATTATCGAGCAAAGCATTTAATTTAGTTGATTTTACAAAGGCATTCAGTAGGGTTCATCGAGAAGCACTGTGGAAGACCCACCTTCCAGATTAATACTGATGTCTGCCAGAGATGAATGATCTAGCAGAATCGCATGAACAGCAGATATTTGTTCTTGGTTTACTCACTTCATTCTGATGCATTTTTCAGAAAACAAGATGTTTAGGACAAATCCTTAAGAATTTAGTTTTTTTTTTTCTGGAAGTGTATTTGTACAGAAATCACTGTCTTTAATATGTTTAACAAACATTTCATAATAACACCAAAGATTCATTGATGTTTGTTGAATTTCAGCTTTTGATTGATTTAATTAATTGTAACTTTATTTGCATAATGTGCATATAACATTGTCTTCATGAAGTTTGCCAATGACACCAAACCTGTCTCGATGTTTAATTTAGAATGCAAGAAAATAACTTGTGAAGCTAATATTGTTTTCTATACATTTCCGATGTGGTCTGTGCTTATTTGCAACGTGTTTCTGTATTTGGTAGCATTGTGAGTATTTGCAGCATGTGTTGTCAAACTGATGAAGATGTTTTCTTAATTTACTGGTGTTTCTTCTGTTTGCAGCACATTGAGCTCTCTCGGCCACCGTATCAACCTTCATATACCAAAAAAAACTAAAACCGCTAAAACCAGCCTATAAGCTGGTCAGGCTGGTTTTAGCTGATCTCCCAGCTGGTTTATCAGGCTGGATTTAGAGGGGGGTAAAATACACATTTTTTTGGCGGGGTTCTCCTGGTAAAATTGCAGTGTGAACTCGACATAAGACTGTGGCTGAAGTCAGTTGTAGTGTTTTTCTTTTCTTCAGTGATTCTGCTTGTTAACAGCAGCTGCTCATCACTAATTCTCAATCAGCACTTAATTAATCACTTAATTATCTCATTAACTTTAACTCTGCTTCAGTGTTACTTTAACACTCTTGTAGAGTGGGACCAAATGTGCTCTGTATAGAATTCATTTAACACTCAGATTTTGCTGTGTAATACTTATTTGCAATTAATTTAGCTTTTTAAAGTATTATTTCTTGTATTAAAACAATCACTTTCACCATCCTTGCTGTGGCCATCACATACAATATTTCAGAGAACAAAAATAAAAGTTTCCATTTGATTCTAATGGAAATGAGATGTGATGGAGAGCACATCTCTGACAGAGCAGCAGACTGACTGTTTGAAGATCTTAAGAGTTTACATCATGATCTAAGTCAGGGAAGTCATTAGAACTAATGATTATGGGTGTAAAGGTACACAAAATGAGGTTTGCATAGCTCGGTTTTTAAGTCACGTTTTGGAAGTTATTGGATAAAACATTTTAAACTATGGTTTAAGGAACAAACTATCGCTTTGTATTAAAATAATAATAATAAAACAAGTCTGTGCTACTGCTGCAACAGTTTATGGTGCTATCGTAAATATTTCATAATTTAGAAAGGATTTGGCAGTATTTAACCCAATGTCTCAGTTTTAACCCAATAAAATGGACAGTGATGGCTGCTGTAACATTGGCAGTGGCTAAATATTGATCATTAGTCAGTCTATGAACATATTTTGTAACAGAAACGCATTAAAATAATACAGGAAAACCTGAATGTGACCTGAAAAAAAAGCAAAGTACAATTCATGTTTTAATACAAAATTCAAGCCAAGTGACATTACAGAATCATTTAAGACATTAGCTGTTCATTTACTGTACTTGTTTTTTGTTTTTGTTTTAGTTTAATTTAGATTCACTTTACCAATAAAGTATGTGTCCTTCATTCCTGCAAACACACTTTGCTGTTTATATATATTGTATGATGCATCTGAATATTTAAAGTACAGTACAATGTTTAAAGTAATCAGCTGTAAAATGGGCCTTTACAGAAGAAGTAGTCATTTAGTTGGAGCTTTCTGAGCTCAACAAAACAAAGATATAATTGTAGAGTTTTAAAATTGTTAATCTTAGACAACTGTATGATGCCATACAAGTAATTTATTTTCCTTTACCATGTACACATGAAATAGTTTTCAGGAGTTTTCTTTTCTTTTTAATTTGCCATCATTTACTTGAAAATATTTAAGTGTGATTATTTTGAGAAATCTGTAAATATACGCTTTTCACCCTCCATCAATTAAAACAAACAAACAAACAAAAAAAGTTTAAAGAAGACTAAAACAGTTCAGCAGTGAAACAGCTTTACATCAATAGTATTAACAGCTATAAAATAAGACACTCAAATAACATGTTTTTCTATTATTTGTAGAAAGGATCTGAGACTATGACATTTATCATACAAAATCATAGATTCTGTTATAAAAGCACCTGTATATTAATGGAACTTGAGCAGTTTTTATTACTTCATGAACATTATGCTGTGGTCCTCAGTGTTGTTTAACACAGCAAAGACATCTGAAGCACTTCCTGTACTGTTGCCTGACCTGGACAAGAATGAGACGAGAGGAGCTGAGTGACTTCATGAGATCAAATTACCCTCTGAAACTCATGAACCAGTGGGAAAAAAAGTGGCTTTGGAGACTAGATTAGCATTTTTATAAATAAATATTCACGCTTTTCTTCCAGAAAAAAAAAAAAAAAGGAAAATGATTTTAAACTCTGATGTTGGCTTAAAGCCCGGGATACACTGCACGATTTTAGCAATCCTATAATATCATTACTTTATCACACTGTGCGACATGGATCGTTTAAACTTGGGTACGACAAGCATGTAGACTGTACGATGATGACACCTATTGAATCGTAGGCTGCGACGGCTGCGGCACACGTCAACGCAACGTCATCAGCATGCGCTAGTGGTAAACAAATACCGGTACATCAAGATGAATCGCGCTTTGGCAGTTGTGCTTTTCATGTGCACTGAAACTAAGAAGAGGCGCCGGCGGAAGAGGGCAATATGGACCCGCTCATGACTCGGGAAAAGAGGACAACTTGGAATGCCAGTTTTGCACAGGGAGTTTGGCAGCTGCAGTTCCTCCGCTATCTCCTTCCATGCTATGTTCTTTTTGGTGCGGTCACGATAGCAGCTAGAGGACACATCGTACAAACGTGCCCTCTGCTGCCACAACTCAACAAGAATTTGTTCTTTATGGGTATCCCACATACCAGTTTTCAATGCCTCCATGGCATTGAAAACAGTCCCCTAGTGCGCTCCTATGATGCCTTCATTGATCATTTCCACGAGGTGTTTGGCAAAACTACCTCGGCGGTCTCCGTGCATGATGAGCACGACTACGGCAAGAGAATATGTCCATCCATGACTATACAGTTCGATTCCGTACCCTCTCGGCAAGCAGTGGATGGAACGAAACGATCCTTCTATCAGCGTTCCAACGTGGAATAAATACTTCAATCAGACAGCAAATGTCCATCTATGAAGACACCGTAGGACTAGAGAGCTTTCTGCAAAAAGCTCTGCACATCACCCAACATCTAACCGCTTGTCACATCGAGGATTCCTCCTCTGCTGCAGCGGTGAGTATGGTCCATATTAATCCTGATGTCTCAAGTCTGCCTCACATTGATGCCCTTCTAATGTACATGAACCACTCTTTTCCAGTCAAGATCTTGGTGGATTCGGGAGCTTCAGGAAATTTAATCTCCTCCATCAGTCTCACTCAAATCAAGCTCCCTCAACACCATAATTCCACAATCTACCAAATCTCCAATATACAAAGAAAACCGCTGAGTAAGGGGTTGGTACGCCATCGCACCCCGGAAGTCACTCTTCGCATTGGAAACTTCCATGCTGAATGGATTTCGTTCCTGGTGCTGGAGGAGGCCACAGTAGATATCGTCCTGGGGCGTCCCTGGCTGGCTAAACATCATCCAGACATCCACTGGAACTCCGCGGAAATACTTTGAGTGAATCCTGTTTCAGGACATGTTTAGCAGATCTCCCTCTTCCAGACCGAGCTAAGCTCTCCATACCGCTCTGCTCTACCACTATAGAGAGCCCAGCTTCACAAAGCTCAGTCCACATTCCAGCTGCCTACAGGGCGTTCCAGGACTTGTTCAGCAAGTTCGCGGCAACCCATCTTCCACCTCACCGGCCATGGGACTGTGCAATCAACCTGCTGCCTAAGGCCAAATTACTTAAGGGACATGTCTATCCCCTATCGATCCCGGAGCGCGCTGCTTTGGAGGAGTACATCAAGGAGGCATTACATCAGGGGTTCATCCATCCTTCCACTTCTCCTGCAGCATCCAATTGTGGCGAAGAAGGATGGGGGGCCTACGCCCTTGTATTGACTATCGAGCACTCAACTCCCAAACCATCAAATTTTCCTATCCACTCCCTCTTGTGCCAGCCTCGTTGGAGGAACTCCGTGGTGTCCGGATCTTCACGAAACTCGATCTATGCAGGGCCTACAATCTAATCCGCATTTGAAGAGGAGACAAATGGAAAACTGCATTCATAACACCATCCGGGCACTACGAATACCTGGTTATGCCGTATGGCCTTTCAAACTCACCATCCATCTTCCAAAACTTCATGAATGAAATCTTCCGTGATATGCTCAATCAATTCGTAATCATCTACATCGACGACATTCTCATTTACTCACCCAATCTTGAGGAACACCAACAGCATGTCTCCCAGGTACTCCAACGTCTCCGAAAGCACCACCTCTACCTCAAGCAGGAAAAGTGTGAGTTACATCTAACCACAATTCAATTCCTGGGCTACATAATCACACCAGAGGGAGTCCAAATGGGCAAAGAGCTGCAAAGATTCCTGGGATTTGCAAACTTCTATCGGCGCTTCAAAGCCCATTATTGTCAACGGTCGGCTCCACTTACCTCTCTCCTCCGTCAGAAGCCAAAGACCATCTCCTGGACGCCTGAAGCCACACAGGCCTTTCTGCAGCTCAAATCCTCTTTCTGCACCGCTCCAGCCCTAACCCATCCAAATCCGAACCATCAGTTTGTGGTGGAAGTGGATGCTTCCACTCTAGGAGTAGGGTCAGTATTATCCCAATGGAAGGGTGAACCCCCCATACTCCATCCATGCGCGTACTTCTCCAAGAAGATGTCCCCGGCAGAGCAAAATTACGACATCGGGAACCGTGAGTTACTGGCCATCAAACTCACGCTGGAAGAGTGGCGGCACTGGTTGGAAGGGGCTCAACATCCCTTCGAAGTCATAATTGATCACAAGAACCTCCAATACCTCCGTGAAGCTAAACGTCTTAATCCCCGACAAGCCCGATGGGCCTTATTCTTCACCCGTTTCCGATTCACACTCACCTACCGCCCTGGGCATAAGAACCTCAAAGCAGACGCTTTATCACGACTTCAACCAGATCCATCACCAGATAACACGGAACCCATTCTCTCACCCACAGTGTTCGCATGTCCAATCATCACCTGGGATGTGAATGACCAAATTTGTACCACCACTCTAACAGAACCCGCTCCGCCGGGAGGTCCGGAAGGGAGATTGTATGTACCAACCACTCTACGTCTCGCCCTTCTGGACTCCATCCACACTTCTCCGAGATCAGGTCACCCAGGAAGCCAACGCACCTCTCGCTCCTCCGGAACAGATACTGGTGGCCCAGCATGGCTCAGGATGTCGCCCGCTACGTCAAGGGTTGTTCGGTCTGCGCCATCACATCCACTCCACGCCATTTACCTGCAGGAAAACTGGTTCCCTTACCTGTTCCACGCCGACCCTGGTCCTACATTGGAATCGATTTCGCCACTGATCTTCCACCCTCTAACGGATTCACTACCATATTTGTCAAATGTAAGATCCAGGAGATCAGGCGGTATCTCCGAGCCTACTGTCACGAACATCAGGACGGCCGGAGCCATTATCTTCCCTGGGCCGAGTACGCTCAGAACTCGTTGCGACAGGAAATGACTGGGTTAACACCATTCCAGTGCATTCTCGGATTTCAACCGCCACTCTTCCCCTGGACTGGAGAGCCCTCAGAAGTCCCCGCGGTTGACTTCTGGTTCCGTGAGAGCAAGAGGGTATGGGACTCAGCACATGTCCATCTCCAGCGGGCAGTACGGAGACATAAAGACTATGCTGATGCCCGTCGCGCACCCATGCCTGTGTACCAACCAGGTGACCGAGTTTGGCTCTCCACTCGGGATATTCATCTCCAGCTGCCCAGCAAGAAGCTGAGTCCCTGTTATGTCGGTCCTTTCCCTATCACGGTGCAAATTAATGAGGTCACATATGAGCTCCAACTCCCAGATACCTACTGCATCTCACCTACCTTCCATGTGTCCTTGTTAAAGCCATTCACTAATCCACTACTCCCTCCTTTTGCAGAGCACGAGATACCTCCTCCTCCCGAAGTCGACCTCACGATACCATCTACAGAGTCCAAGAAATTCTAGACTCCTGACGGCGGGGCGGCCGGCTCCAGAATCTCGTGGATTGGGAGGGATACGGTCCCGAGGAGAGATCATCGGTGGACAAGGGTGATATTCTGGATCCGTCACTCTTCTGACTTCCACCAGTCGCACCCAGATCGTCCTGCTCCTAGGGGGCGCGGTCGTCCTTGCTGTCGGTCACAGGTGCCAGGAGACGCCGGTGGGGGAGGGGTACTGTCACAGATTCACCAGCCACATCAGCCACCTACACCCGTTCACAATCACCCGAGTACTAATTACGAACGCCTGATGTCACTTACCTGAGCACTATATCTGTTCACTCACCTCAGTATCTCACTGACTGGTCTCACGGTTGCATACCTTACCTCATGCCTCGCCACACCACTCTGGATCTCCGTGGCTCTGTGTCTCCCACCATCTTGCTGGATCTTCCTAAAGAGGATTAAGATAAGGACTGTTACTCTTCAGTTTCTATAGCTAAAGTTATGTTTCAGTTTTAATACTTACCTTTTGAAGCTCTCCTTTAGTTTGTGTAATTAAAGAAGCTCTTAATCGTTCTTCCTGTGTATGCCTCTCTATCCAGCCGTGACATATATTGGTTTAAATTTGATTTTTTTTTACAGGTCGCACCCAGATCGTCCTGCTCCTAGGGGGCGCGGTCGTCCTTGCTGTCGGTCACAGGTGCCAGGAGACGCCGGTGGGGGAGGGGTACTGTCACAGATTCACCAGCCACATCAGCCACCTACACCCGTTCACAATCACCCGAGTACTAATTACGAACGCCTGATGTCACTTACCTGAGCACTATATCTGTTCACTCACCTCAGTATCTCACTGACTGGTCTCACGGTTGCATACCTTACCTCATGCCTCGCCACACCACTCTGGATCTCCGTGGCTCTGTGTCTCCCACCATCTTGCTGGATCTTCCTAAAGAGGATTAAGATAAGGACTGTTACTCTTCAGTTTCTATAGCTAAAGTTATGTTTCAGTTTTAATACTTACCTTTTGAAGCTCTCCTTTAGTTTGTGTAATTAAAGAAGCTCTTAATCGTTCTTCCTGTGTATGCCTCTCTATCCAGCCGTGACATATATTGGTTTAAATTTGATTTTTTTTTACAGTTAGAGTTTGAATAGTTTTGGCTCATTTGCACATTCCGTCACAAGATAACAGATTAAACAAACTGCCTCTGACATTCTTTTCTAAAAGTCACAGATTACCAAAACAAGAACAGGACATCAATGAATGCATCCAGATCACACATGTAAATTGAGTAAATGTCTGACCTCATTATTGAAGACACAGTAGATCAGGAAGATGAAGGTTCCCTGCTGGGAGTTCAAGATCAGGAAGAGGATCTCCAGCACCTTACTGCCATTTGTGAAGAAACCCAGAATCCAGGAGCAACCAAGAATCACACACTGAGCCAGTGTTTTAAACACCACAATCCTGCAGAGAAACAGATAAAAAATGAGAGTTAATGTGTCTTTATTGACTACGTGGTTTTCTATAGAGCGATTAAATAATGATGTTACTTGGTTTGTTTCATCTGTGAAACTTCAGCATTGAGAGTTTTGAGAGCTGAGATCATACTGATGACGATCTTGATGAAGAGAATCATGTTTAACTGCAAAGTAGAAGAGTAATTAATCACCTTTTCCTTTTAATATTTAAGTCATGAGAAATAAGAAATGTTTACCGCTAGTATGACACAAACAGGACCCAGAAAACTCCAGATGAAGCCTTTTTCCATTTTAATCCAGCATCTGAAAAATCAATATAATAACTGAATTAATTTGTCAGAAATACTATTTCAGGTGTTGACTGGTGAAATATTACAAACTTTAATCTTGTGCGTGAGACTGATACAGCCTGTGTGTTTATTTTATCAGATAGCAGAAACGTCACAAAATCCCAGAGCTGCTTTATTTCCTTCTAATCAAATTAACTTAAAAACAACAACAACAACTCACTGTTCGTTGCCGTAGCCTTCAGGAACCAGACCAACAGACACACACACCACAACCAGAGCAACCAGGTATCCAATCACACACAGGAATCCACTGCTAAGCACCGCCCTCTTTCTGGAGCTGATCTAGTCGCTCTGAGAAAACATGAGAGAACATGAGTGCCAAATCTGTGCTTTTCTTCAATGTTCACTAGAAGTATTCTGTACCTCTGACTGACGGCTGGTTTGCATGATGAGAGCGAATGTTGACAGATGAACACAGGAACACACAGTGTAGCTGCTGTTAGTCTTTAAAACAGAACAACCATCTACAATCCACTCGCTGATATTCCAGTACACACAGAACAGAGAACCGCTGGGATCAAACTCCTGCAAAAACAAGAAGAAAATATTAAAACACTGAATATTCAATTTTTTCAGATGTTCATCAGTGCTCTGATAAAACAAAAGCACATTTGAGTCTCTCACTCTGATGTGTTTGAGGGTGAAGTTGACTGGTTTGGTGAGTTTAGTGTTGGTGGTTTTGGGAAGAGTAGCTGAGATCACAGTGGACATCATGGTTTTAACCTTGTCTTTTGATGTGTTGAAGAAGTCTGGCTTCAGTAGATACTCCATCGTGTTGTAGCTCATGAAAGCCACAGCAGCTGATCCTGTGAGACAGAAACAGAAACTACAGTAAATGCAATACTATGTAAAAACAACAATAAATGTTTAGTGGTAATAGTATGCTGTCTCTATGATTTTTTTTTAATATATATTTGACATACTTTCATTGTTGTTCCTGGCGATCCCAATGAGATCGATGTCCACAGAAGAATTTGTCGTGTCGAGTCGAGGGATTTTATTTAAGGTGACCTGTGGTCCAACCATGAATACTTGACCCTCTGATTAAAACACAAACAAGCAGTTATGTTCAATATTAATTTATATTTATCTTTTTTTATGAAAGTCCAATTCAATCATTCAATTTGCACACAAGACAAATACATTCATTGACTATTGTTGGGTTTTCATCTCTAATGCAATTTAAACCCTTCAGGTCAAATTGTAATCTGCTAACTGCAAAAATGTAAATGAAAGCACTATTAATTCTTAGGTCATCTGTGGTCAAAGGCCAGTATATATCAGTATACTGTGTACTCAAGTGCTCAAATGCTCCAATTCTCAAATGTCCAAAATGTCCTTAAAATCAAACACTGTAATTAATTGCCACCATCAATTGGTGATCACTGATTTTTTTTATTGTTTTATTGTTGATTGTTTTATGCTCAAGGCAGCTAATATTCACAAACACACTGAGGTCTCCACAAACCATGAACTTTTCACTGTAAGTGAACCTGTGTTTAATGTTTTTTAATATATATATATATATATATATTTTTTTTTTTTAAGACAACCTGTCTGTGTACATATGACAGGATTTCTGCTCTCTCATAAGTTTATAACTCTATACAATTAAATTAAATTAAATGTATTACTGTAGCTGCATTTGCTGCTGTCTGACCAACTGCTGCTGTCTAGACTAAATAAAGTCACTGATATCATATATAACCTGAGTTTAATCATTAATAATAATTGTGTCTCCACTTACCTACAGCAGCAAGAGTAAAACTGACATTGTCACTAGTGTCTGGTAGCTTCACTAATGTAGAAATTAGTTTCTCGCTGGCTTTTAACATACGGTTTCCATAGGAGGCTAGTTCAGCTGGGTTTACTGATGATGATGACTCTAAAATCTTCTCTGAAGTGTTGAAGGCCATATTCAAAATGTTTTTCACAGTCTAATTTGATTAGAAAAATACAGTTATTGTGCATATAAATGACATCAGAGCCCATGCTGCCACGTCAATCACTATGTAACCAACAATGATTTAATTATTTTGTCATTTTTCTCTTGAAGACGTACATCCAAAGGAAGCTCTTGAGCTGTAATGTTCTCGATCTGCTCAAGAAGATTTTGAAAACATCCTCCAAAAGTCTGACTCTGAAATCACAATTGAGCTTTATGTGGTAAATAAGACTGTGGTTTTAATCATGTTTTACAATATTAATAGTAAACAAAAGTGCACATAACCATCAGAAATAAGCAGAAAAGCACATTTATATTTCTAATATCTGCCACATCTTATTGCACTGCTCTCTGCACCATAATTGATAGAAGTTGTGAGTCCAACTCAGAAACTTAAATTTCAGAATCTCAACTTACGTTGCATCCTTCCTGCAGCGTCATATTTATAACTGCAATGACAGAAATCAGCATGAAGGCAATAAAAAAAAAAAAAAAAAAAAAAAACAAGGGATAGAAATAAATAACGAATATAACCGTGAGTGTGGGGAACAAACAAAAACTGTTTGAGAAGTTTCATGTGAAAAAAACATGAAACTACATTTTTCTCACAGTCAACCATATGGAAACTGAGCAAACATAATTTTTCTTAATAGCCATAAATGTATAATTTGTACACTGAAGCTCATGAAATAATGTCTGCTCTGTGGATATTTTTACACACTGTAAAAAATGACAGTGAATTTAACGGTAAAAGACTGTAAAAATGCTACAGTAAATTACCTGTTAAATGGTTAACGGTAAATTTCTCTACTATGTACGGTGAAAAACTGTATTGGACATTACATGTATTGGACATTAATTTTACGGTAGTATACCGTTTTTGGAAGTGAAAAAGACCGTATAATTTACAGTGAATAACCGTAAATTGACATTCCCAGAATTCCCTCCGTTACATTTCAAATTTGATGTTTTTTTGTTGAAACAACCATGTTTCTACATGAGTTTTTCATCTCTTTC